AGTACTCCAGGCACTTCAACCACACCTGCATCTTCAAGCACACCAGGCTCATCTAGTACACCACCATCAACAAGCACACCTGGTTCATCAAGTACACCTGGTTCTTCAAGCACACCTGGCTCATCTAGTACACCAGGATCATCAAGCACACCAGGATCATCTAGTACACCAGGCTCATCAAGTACACCAGGATCATCAAGCACACCTGGTTCGTCAGTCACACCAAGTACACCACAATCAACAAGCACACCCGTTTCATCAAGTACTCCAGGCACTTCAACCACACCTGCATCTTCAAGCACACCAGGCTCATCTAGTACACCACCATCAACAAGCACACCTGGTTCATCAAGTACACCTGGTTCTTCAAGCACACCTGGCTCATCTAGTACACCAGGATCATCAAGCACACCAGGATCATCTAGTACACCAGGCTCATCAAGTACACCAGGATCATCAAGCACACCTGGTTCGTCAGTCACACCAAGTACACCACAATCAACAAGCACACCCGTTTCATCAAGTACTCCAGGCACTTCAACCACACCTGCATCTTCAAGCACACCAGGCTCATCTAGTACACCACCATCAACAAGCACACCTGGATCATCAAGTACACCTGGTTCTTCAAGCACACCTGGCTCATCTAGTACACCAGGATCATCAAGCACACCAGGATCATCTAGTACACCAGGCTCATCAAGTACACCAGGATCATCAAGCACACCTGGTTCGTCAGTCACACCAAGTACACCACAATCAACAAGCACACCCGTTTCATCAAGTACTCCAGGCACTTCAACCACACCTGCATCTTCAAGCACACCAGGCTCATCTAGTACACCACCATCAACAAGCACACCTGGTTCATCAAGTACACCTGGTTCTTCAAGCACACCTGGCTCATCTAGTACACCAGGATCATCAAGCACACCAGGATCATCTAGTACACCAGGCTCATCAAGTACACCAGGATCATCAAGCACACCTGGTTCGTCAGTCACACCAAGTACACCACAATCAACAAGCACACCCGTTTCATCAAGTACTCCAGGCACTTCAACCACACCTGCATCTTCAAGCACACCAGGCTCATCTAGTACACCACCATCAACAAGCACACCTGGTTCATCAAGTACACCTGGTTCTTCAAGCACACCTGGCTCATCTAGTACACCAGGATCATCAAGCACACCAGGATCATCTAGTACACCAGGCTCATCAAGTACACCAGGATCATCAAGCACACCTGGTTCGTCAGTCACACCAAGTACACCACAATCAACAAGCACACCCGTTTCATCAAGTACTCCAGGCACTTCAACCACACCTGCATCTTCAAGCACACCAGGCTCATCTAGTACACCACCATCAACAAGCACACCTGGTTCATCAAGTACACCTGGTTCTTCAAGCACACCTGGCTCATCTAGTACACCAGGATCATCAAGCACACCAGGATCATCTAGTACACCAGGCTCATCAAGTACACCAGGATCATCAAGCACACCTGGTTCGTCAGTCACACCAAGTACACCACAATCAACAAGCACACCCGTTTCATCAAGTACTCCAGGCACTTCAACCACACCTGCATCTTCAAGCACACCAGGCTCATCTAGTACACCACCATCAACAAGCACACCTGGTTCATCAAGTACACCTGGTTCTTCAAGCACACCTGGCTCATCTAGTACACCAGGATCATCAAGCACACCAGGATCATCTAGTACACCAGGCTCATCAAGTACACCAGGATCATCAAGCACACCTGGTTCGTCAGTCACACCAAGTACACCACAATCAACAAGCACACCCGTTTCATCAAGTGCTCCAGGCACTTCAACCACACCTGCATCTTCAAGCACACCAGGCTCATCTAGTACACCACCATCAACAAGCACACCTGGTTCATCAAGTACACCTGGTTCTTCAAGCACACCTGGCTCATCTAGTACACCAGGATCATCAAGCACACCAGGATCATCTAGTACACCAGGCTCATCAAGTACACCAGGATCATCAAGCACACCTGGTTCGTCAGTCACACCAAGTACACCACAATCAACAAGCACACCCGTTTCATCAAGTACTCCAGGCACTTCAACCACACCTGCATCTTCAAGCACACCAGGCTCATCTAGTACACCACCATCAACAAGCACACCTGGTTCATCAAGTACACCTGGTTCTTCAAGCACACCTGGCTCATCTAGTACACCAGGATCATCAAGCACACCAGGATCAGCTAGTACACCAGGCTCATCAAGTACACCAGGATCATCAAGCACACCTGGTTCGTCAGTCACACCAAGTACACCACAATCAACAAGCACACCCGTTTCATCAAGTACTCCAGGCACTTCAACCACACCTGCATCTTCAAGCACACCAGGCTCATCTAGTACACCACCATCAACAAGCACACCTGGTTCATCAAGTACACCTGGTTCTTCAAGCACACCTGGCTCATCTAGTACACCAGGATCATCAAGCACACCAGGATCATCTAGTACACCAGGCTCATCAAGTACACCAGGATCATCAAGCACACCTGGTTCGTCAGTCACACCAAGTACACCACAATCAACAAGCACACCCGTTTCATCAAGTACTCCAGGCACTTCAACCACACCTGCATCTTCAAGCACACCAGGCTCATCTAGTACACCACCATCAACAAGCACACCTGGTTCATCAAGTACACCTGGTTCTTCAAGCACACCTGGCTCATCTAGTACACCAGGATCATCAAGCACACCAGGATCATCTAGTACACCAGGCTCATCAAGTACACCAGGATCATCAAGCACACCTGGTTCGTCAGTCACACCAAGTACACCACAATCAACAAGCACACCCGTTTCATCAAGTGCTCCAGGCACTTCAACCACACCTGCATCTTCAAGCACACCAGGCTCATCTAGTACACCACCATCAACAAGCACACCTGGTTCATCAAGTACACTTGGTTCTTCAAGCACACCTGGCTCATCTAGTACACCAGGATCATCAAGCACACCAGGATCATCTAGTACACCAGGCTCATCAAGTACACCAGGATCATCAAGCACACCTGGTTCGTCAGTCACACCAAGTACACCACAATCAACAAGCACACCCGTTTCATCAAGTACTCCAGGCACTTCAACCACACCTGCATCTTCAAGCACACCAGGCTCATCTAGTACACCACCATCAACAAGCACACCTGGTTCATCAAGTACACCTGGTTCTTCAAGCACACCTGGCTCATCTAGTACACCAGGATCATCAAGCACACCAGGATCATCTAGTACACCAGGATCATCAAGTACACCAGGATCATCAAGCACACCTGGTTCGTCAGTCACACCAAGTACACCACAATCAACAAGCACACCCGTTTCATCAAGTACTCCAGGCACTTCAACCTCACCTGCATCTTCAAGCACACCAGGCTCATCTAGTACTCCACCATCAACAAGCACACCTGGTTCATCAAGTACACCTGGTTCTTCAAGCACACCTGGCTCATCTAGTACACCAGGATCATCAAGCACACCAGGATCATCTAGTACACCAGGCTCATCAAGTACACCAGGATCATCAAGCACACCTGGTTCGTCAGTCACACCAAGTACACCACAATCAACAAGCACACCCGTTTCATCAAGTACTCCAGGCACTTCAACCACACCTGCATCTTCAAGCACACCAGGCTCATCTAGTACACCACCATCAACAAGCACACCTGGTTCATCAAGTACACCTGGTTCTTCAAGCACACCTGGCTCATCTAGTACACCAGGATCATCAAGCACACCAGGATCATCTAGTACACCAGGCTCATCAAGTACACCAGGATCATCAAGCACACCTGGTTCGTCAGTCACACCAAGTACACCACAATCAACAAGCACACCCGTTTCATCAAGTGCTCCAGGCACTTCAACCACACCTGCATCTTCAAGCACACCAGGCTCATCTAGTACACCACCATCAACAAGCACACCTGGTTCATCAAGTACACTTGGTTCTTCAAGCACACCTGGCTCATCTAGTACACCAGGATCATCAAGCACACCAGGATCATCTAGTACACCAGGCTCATCAAGTACACCAGGATCATCAAGCACACCTGGTTCGTCAGTCACACCAAGTACACCACAATCAACAAGCACACCCGTTTCATCAAGTACTCCAGGCACTTCAACCACACCTGCATCTTCAAGCACACCAGGCTCATCTAGTACACCACCATCAACAAGCACACCTGGTTCATCAAGTACACCTGGTTCTTCAAGCACACCTGGCTCATCTAGTACACCAGGATCATCAAGCACACCAGGATCATCTAGTACACCAGGCTCATCAAGTACACCAGGATCATCAAGCACACCTGGTTCGTCAGTCACACCAAGTACACCACAATCAACAAGCACACCCGTTTCATCAAGTACTCCAGGCACTTCAACCACACCTGCATCTTCAAGCACACCAGGCTCATCTAGTACTCCACCATCAACAAGCACACCTGGTTCATCAAGTACACCTGGTTCTTCAAGCACACCTGGCTCATCTAGTACACCAGGATCATCAAGCACACCAGGATCATCTAGTACACCAGGCTCATCAAGTACACCAGGATCATCAAGCACACCTGGTTCGTCAGTCACACCAAGTACACCACAATCAACAAGCACACCCGTTTCATCAAGTACTCCAGGCACTTCAACCACACCTGCATCTTCAAGCACACCAGGCTCATCTAGTACACCACCATCAACAAGCACACCTGGTTCATCAAGTACACCTGGTTCTTCAAGCACACCTGGCTCATCTAGTACACCAGGATCATCAAGCACACCAGGATCATCTAGTACACCAGGCTCATCAAGTACACCAGGATCATCAAGCACACCTGGTTCGTCAGTCACACCAAGTACACCACAATCAACAAGCACACCCGTTTCATCAAGTACTCCAGGCACTTCAACCACACCTGCATCTTCAAGCACACCAGGCTCATCTAGTACACCACCATCAACAAGCACACCTGGTTCATCAAGTACACCTGGTTCTTCAAGCACACCTGGCTCATCAAGTACACCAGGATCATCAAGCACACCAGGATCATCTAGTACACCAGGCTCATCAAGTACACCAGGATCATCAAGCACACCTGGTTCGTCAGTCACACCAAGTACACCACAATCAACAAGCACACCCGTTTCATCAAGTACTCCAGGCACTTCAACCACACCTGCATCTTCAAGCACACCAGGCTCATCTAGTACACCACCATCAACAAGCACACCTGGTTCATCAAGTACACCTGGTTCTTCAAGCACACCTGGCTCATCTAGTACACCAGGATCATCAAGCACACCAGGATCATCTAGTACACCAGGCTCATCAAGTACACCAGGATCATCAAGCACACCTGGTTCGTCAGTCACACCAAGTACACCACAATCAACAAGCACACCCGTTTCATCAAGTACTCCAGGCACTTCAACCACACCTGCATCTTCAAGCACACCAGGCTCATCTAGTACACCACCATCAACAAGCACACCTGGTTCATCAAGTACACCTGGTTCTTCAAGCACACCTGGCTCATCTAGTACACCAGGATCATCAAGCACACCAGGATCATCTAGTACACCAGGCTCATCAAGTACACCAGGATCATCAAGCACACCTGGTTCGTCAGTCACACCAAGTACACCACAATCAACAAGCACACCCGTTTCATCAAGTACTCCAGGCACTTCAACCACACCTGCATCTTCAAGCACACCAGGCTCATCTAGTACACCACCATCAACAAGCACACCTGGTTCATCAAGTACACCTGGTTCTTCAAGCACACCTGGCTCATCTAGTACACCAGGATCATCAAGCACACCAGGATCATCTAGTACACCAGGCTCATCAAGTACACCAGGATCATCAAGCACACCTGGTTCGTCAGTCACACCAAGTACACCACAATCAACAAGCACACCCGTTTCATCAAGTACTCCAGGCACTTCAACCACACCTGCATCTTCAAGCACACCAGGCTCATCTAGTACTCCACCATCAACAAGCACACCTGGTTCATCAAGTACACCTGGTTCTTCAAGCACACCTGGCTCATCTAGTACACCAGGATCATCAAGCACACCAGGATCATCTAGTACACCAGGCTCATCAAGTACACCAGGATCATCAAGCACACCTGGTTTGTCAGTCACACCAAGTACACCACAATCAACAAGCACACCCGTTTCATCAAGTACTCCAGGCACTTCAACCACACCTGCATCTTCAAGCACACCAGGCTCATCTAGTACACCACCATCAACAAGCACACCTGGATCATCAAGTACACCTGGTTCTTCAAGCACACCTGGCTCATCTAGTACACCAGGATCATCAAGCACACCAGGATCATCTAGTACACCAGGCTCATCAAGTACACCAGGATCATCAAGCACACCTGGTTCGTCAGTCACACCAAGTACACCACAATCAACAAGCACACCCGTTTCATCAAGTACTCCAGGCACTTCAACCACACCTGCATCTTCAAGCACACCAGGCTCATCTAGTACACCACCATCAACAAGCACACCTGGTTCATCAAGTACACCTGGTTCTTCAAGCACACCTGGCTCATCTAGTACACCAGGATCATCAAGCACACCAGGATCATCTAGTACACCAGGCTCATCAAGTACACCAGGATCATCAAGCACACCTGGTTCGTCAGTCACACCAAGTACACCACAATCAACAAGCACACCCGTTTCATCAAGTACTCCAGGCACTTCAACCACACCTGCATCTTCAAGCACACCAGGCTCATCTAGTACACCACCATCAACAAGCACACCTGGTTCATCAAGTACACCTGGTTCTTCAAGCACACCTGGCTCATCTAGTACACCAGGATCATCAAGCACACCAGGATCATCTAGTACACCAGGCTCATCAAGTACACCAGGATCATCAAGCACACCTGGTTCGTCAGTCACACCAAGTACACCACAATCAACAAGCACACCCGTTTCATCAAGTACTCCAGGCACTTCAACCACACCTGCATCTTCAAGCACACCAGGCTCATCTAGTACACCACCATCAACAAGCACACCTGGTTCATCAAGTACACCTGGTTCTTCAAGCACACCTGGCTCATCTAGTACACCAGGATCATCAAGCACACCAGGATCATCTAGTACACCAGGCTCATCAAGTACACCAGGATCATCAAGCACACCTGGTTCGTCAGTCACACCAAGTACACCACAATCAACAAGCACACCCGTTTCATCAAGTACTCCAGGCACTTCAACCACACCTGCATCTTCAAGCACACCAGGCTCATCTAGTACACCACCATCAACAAGCACACCTGGCTCATCTAGTACACCAGGATCATCAAGCACACCAGGATCATCTAGTACACCAGGCTCATCAAGTACACCAGGATCATCAAGCACACCTGGTTCGTCAGTCACACCAAGTACACCACAATCAACAAGCACACCCGTTTCATCAAGTACTCCAGGCACTTCAACCACACCTGCATCTTCAAGCACACCAGGCTCATCTAGTACACCACCATCAACAAGCACACCTGGTTCATCAAGTACACCTGGTTCTTCAAGCACACCTGGCTCATCTAGTACACCAGGATCATCAAGCACACCAGGATCATCTAGTACACCAGGCTCATCAAGTACACCAGGATCATCAAGCACACCTGGTTCGTCAGTCACACCAAGTACACCACAATCAACAAGCACACCCGTTTCATCAAGTACTCCAGGCACTTCAACCACACCTGCATCTTCAAGCACACCAGGCTCATCTAGTACACCACCATCAACAAGCACACCTGGTTCATCAAGTACACCTGGTTCTTCAAGCACACCTGGCTCATCTAGTACACCAGGATCATCAAGCACACCAGGATCATCTAGTACACCAGGCTCATCAAGTACACCAGGATCATCAAGCACACCTGGTTCGTCAGTCACACCAAGTACACCACAATCAACAAGCACACCCGTTTCATCAAGTACTCCAGGCACTTCAACCACACCTGCATCTTCAAGCACACCAGGCTCATCTAGTACACCACCATCAACAAGCACACCTGGTTCATCAAGTACACCTGGTTCTTCAAGCACACCTGGCTCATCTAGTACACCAGGATCATCAAGCACACCAGGATCATCTAGTACACCAGGCTCATCAAGTACACCAGGATCATCAAGCACACCTGGTTCGTCAGTCACACCAAGTACACCACAATCAACAAGCACACCCGTTTCATCAAGTACTCCAGGCACTTCAACCACACCTGCATCTTCAAGCACACCAGGCTCATCTAGTACACCACCATCAACAAGCACACCTGGTTCATCAAGTACACCTGGTTCTTCAAGCACACCTGGCTCATCTAGTACACCAGGATCATCAAGCACACCAGGATCATCTAGTACACCAGGCTCATCAAGTACACCAGGATCATCAAGCACACCTGGTTCGTCAGTCACACCAAGTACACCACAATCAACAAGCACACCCGTTTCATCAAGTGCTCCAGGCACTTCAACCACACCTGCATCTTCAAGCACACCAGGCTCATCTAGTACACCACCATCAACAAGCACACCTGGTTCATCAAGTACACCTGGTTCTTCAAGCACACCTGGCTCATCTAGTACACCAGGATCATCAAGCACACCAGGATCATCTAGTACACCAGGCTCATCAAGTACACCAGGATCATCAAGCACACCTGGTTCGTCAGTCACACCAAGTACACCACAATCAACAAGCACACCCGTTTCATCAAGTACTCCAGGCACTTCAACCACACCTGCATCTTCAAGCACACCAGGCTCATCTAGTACACCACCATCAACAAGCACACCTGGTTCATCAAGTACACCTGGTTCTTCAAGCACACCTGGCTCATCTAGTACACCTGGCTCATCTAGTACACCAGGATCATCAAGCACACCAGGATCATCTAGTACACCAGGCTCATCAAGTACACCAGGATCATCAAGCACACCTGCTTCGTCAGTCACACCAAGTACACCACAATCAACAAGCACACCCGTTTCATCAAGTACTCCAGGCACTTCAACCACACCTGCATCTTCAAGCACACCAGGCTCATCTAGTACACCACCATCAACAAGCACACCTGGTTCATCAAGTACACCTGGTTCTTCAAGCACACCTGGCTCATCTAGTACACCAGGATCATCAAGCACACCAGGATCATCTAGTACACCAGGCTCATCAAGTACACCAGGATCATCAAGCACACCTGGTTCGTCAGTCACACCAAGTACACCACAATCAACAAGCACACCCGTTTCATCAAGTACTCCAGGCACTTCAACCACACCTGCATCTTCAAGCACACCAGGCTCATCTAGTACACCACCATCAACAAGCACACCTGGTTCATCAAGTACACCTGGTTCTTCAAGCACACCTGGCTCATCTAGTACACCAGGATCATCAAGCACACCAGGATCATCTAGTACACCAGGCTCATTAAGTACACCAGGATCATCAAGCACACCTGGTTCATCAGTCACACCAAGTACACCACAATCAACAAGCACACCCGTTTCATCAAGTGCTCCAGGCACTTCAACCACACCTGCATCTTCAAGCACACCAGGCTCATCTAGTACACCACCATCAACAAGCACACCTGGTTCATCAAGTACACCTGGTTCTTCAAGCACACCTGGCTCATCTAGTACACCAGGATCATCAAGCACACCAGGATCATCTAGTACACCAGGCTCATCAAGTACACCAGGATCATCAAGCACACCTGGTTCGTCAGTCACACCAAGTACACCACAATCAACAAGCACACCCGTTTCATCAAGTACTCCAGGCACTTCAACCACACCTGCATCTTCAAGCACACCAGGCTCATCTAGTACACCACCATCAACAAGCACACCTGGTTCATCAAGTACACCTGGTTCTTCAAGCACACCTGGCTCATCTAGTACACCAGGATCATCAAGCACACCAGGATCATCTAGTACACCAGGCTCATCAAGTACACCAGGATCATCAAGCACACCTGGTTCGTCAGTCACACCAAGTACACCACAATCAACAAGCACACCCGTTTCATCAAGTACTCCAGGCACTTCAACCTCACCTGCATCTTCAAGCACTTCAGGCTCATCTAGTACTCCACCATCAACAAGCACACCTGGTTCATCAAGTACACCTGGTTCTTCAAGCACACCTGGCTCATCTAGTACACCAGGATCATCAAGCACACCAGGATCATCTAGTACACCAGGCTCATCAAGTACACCAGGATCATCAAGCACACCTGGTTCGTCAGTCACACCAAGTACACCACAATCAACAAGCACACCCGTTTCATCAAGTACTCCAGGCACTTCAACCACACCTGCATCTTCAAGCACACCAGGCTCATCTAGTACACCACCATCAACAAGCACACCTGGTTCATCAAGTACACCTGGTTCTTCAAGCACACCTGGCTCATCTAGTACACCAGGATCATCAAGCACACCAGGATCATCTAGTACACCAGGCTCATCAAGTACACCAGGATCATCAAGCACACCTGGTTCGTCAGTCACACCAAGTACACCACAATCAACAAGCACACCCGTTTCATCAAGTACTCCAGGCACTTCAACCACACCTGCATCTTCAAGCACACCAGGCTCATCTAGTACACCACCATCAACAAGCACACCTGGTTCATCAAGTACACCTGGTTCTTCAAGCACACCTGGCTCATCTAGTACACCAGGATCATCAAGCACACCAGGATCATCTAGTACACCAGGCTCATCAAGTACACCAGGATCATCAAGCACACCTGGTTCGTCAGTCACACCAAGTACACCACAATCAACAAGCACACCCGTTTCATCAAGTACTCCAGGCACTTCAACCACACCTGCATCTTCAAGCACACCAGGCTCATCTAGTACACCACCATCAACAAGCACACCTGGTTCATCAAGTACACCTGGTTCTTCAAGCACACCTGGCTCATCTAGTACACCAGGATCATCAAGCACACCAGGATCATCTAGTACACCAGGCTCATCAAGTACACCAGGATCATCAAGCACACCTGGTTCGTCAGTCACACCAAGTACACCACAATCAACAAGCACACCCGTTTCATCAAGTACTCCAGGCACTTCAACCACACCTGCATCTTCAAGCACACCAGGCTCATCTAGTACACCACCATCAACAAGCACACCTGGTTCATCAAGTACACCTGGTTCTTCAAGCACACCTGGCTCATCTAGTACACCAGGATCATCAAGCACACCAGGATCATCTAGTACACCAGGCTCATCAAGTACACCAGGATCATCAAGCACACCTGGTTCGTCAGTCACACCAAGTACACCACAATCAACAAGCACACCCGTTTCATCAAGTACTCCAGGCACTTCAACCACACCTGCATCTTCAAGCACACCAGGCTCATCTAGTACACCACCATCAACAAGCACACCTGGTTCATCAAGTACACCTGGTTCTTCAAGCACACCTGGCTCATCTAGTACACCAGGATCATCAAGCACACCAGGATCATCTAGTACACCAGGCTCATCAAGTACACCAGGATCATCAAGCACACCTGGTTCGTCAGTCACACCAAGTACACCACAATCAACAAGCACACCCGTTTCATCAAGTACTCCAGGCACTTCAACCTCACCTGCATCTTCAAGCACACCAGGCTCATCTAGTACTCCACCATCAACAAGCACACCTGGTTCATCAAGTACACCTGGTTCTTCAAGCACACCTGGCTCATCTAGTACACCAGGATCATCAAGCACACCAGGATCATCTAGTACACCAGGCTCATCAAGTACACCAGGATCATCAAGCACACCTGGTTCGTCAGTCACACCAAGTACACCACAATCAACAAGCACACCCGTTTCATCAAGTACTCCAGGCACTTCAACCACACCTGCATCTTCAAGCACACCAGGCTCATCTAGTACACCACCATCAACAAGCACACCTGGATCATCAAGTACACCTGGTTCTTCAAGCACACCTGGCTCATCTAGTACACCAGGATCATCAAGCACACCAGGATCATCTAGTACACCAGGCTCATCAAGTACACCAGGATCATCAAGCACACCTGGTTCGTCAGTCACACCAAGTACACCACAATCAACAAGCACACCCGTTTCATCAAGTACTCCAGGCACTTCAACCACACCTGCATCTTCAAGCACACCAGGCTCATCTAGTACACCACCATCAACAAGCACACCTGGTTCATCAAGTACACCTGGTTCTTCAAGCACACCTGGCTCATCTAGTACACCAGGATCATCAAGCACACCAGGATCATCTAGTACACCAGGCTCATCAAGTACACCAGGATCATCAAGCACACCTGGTTCGTCAGTCACACCAAGTACACCACAATCAACAAGCACACCCGTTTCATCAAGTACTCCAGGCACTTCAACCACACCTGCATCTTCAAGCACACCAGGCTCATCTAGTACACCACCATCAACAAGCACACCTGGTTCATCAAGTACACCTGGTTCTTCAAGCACACCTGGCTCATCTAGTACACCAGGATCATCAAGCACACCAGGATCATCTAGTACACCAGGCTCATCAAGTACACCAGGATCATCAAGCACACCTGGTTCGTCAGTCACACCAAGTACACCACAATCAACAAGCACACCCGTTTCATCAAGTACTCCAGGCACTTCAACCACACCTGCATCTTCAAGCACACCAGGCTCATCTAGTACACCACCATCAACAAGCACACCTGGTTCATCAAGTACACCTGGTTCTTCAAGCACACCTGGCTCATCTAGTACACCAGGATCATCAAGCACACCAGGATCATCTAGTACACCAGGCTCATCAAGTACACCAGGATCATCAAGCACACCTGGTTCGTCAGTCACACCAAGTACACCACAATCAACAAGCACACCCGTTTCATCAAGTACTCCAGGCACTTCAACCTCACCTGCATCTTCAAGCACACCAGGCTCATCTAGTACTCCACCATCAACAAGCACACCTGGTTCATCAAGTACACCTGGTTCTTCAAGCACACCTGGCTCATCTAGTACACCAGGATCATCAAGCACACCAGGATCATCTAGTACACCAGGCTCATCAAGTACACCAGGATCATCAAGCACACCTGGTTCGTCAGTCACACCAAGTACACCACAATCAACAAGCACACCCGTTTCATCAAGTACTCCAGGCACTTCAACCACACCTGCATCTTCAAGCACACCAGGCTCATCTAGTACACCACCATCAACAAGCACACCTGGTTCATCAAGTACACCTGGTTCTTCAAGCACACCTGGCTCATCTAGTACACCAGGATCATCAAGCACACCAGGATCATCTAGTACACCAGGCTCATCAAGTACACCAGGATCATCAAGCACACCTGGTTCGTCAGTCACACCAAGTACACCACAATCAACAAGCACACCCGTTTCATCAAGTACTCCAGGCACTTCAACCACACCTGCATCTTCAAGCACACCAGGCTCATCTAGTACACCACCATCAACAAGCACACCTGGTTCATCAAGTACACCTGGTTCTTCAAGCACACCTGGCTCATCTAGTACACCAGGATCATCAAGCACACCAGGATCATCTAGTACACCAGGATCATCAAGTACACCAGGATCATCAAGCACACCTGGTTCGTCAGTCACACCAAGTACACCACAATCAACAAGCACACCCGTTTCATCAAGTACTCCAGGCACTTCAACCACACCTGCATCTTCAAGCACACCAGGCTCATCTAGTACACCACCATCAACAAGCACACCTGGTTCATCAAGTACACCTGGTTCTTCAAGCACACCTGGCTCATCTAGTACACCAGGATCATCAAGCACACCAGGATCATCTAGTACACCAGGCTCATCAAGTACACCAGGATCATCAAGCACACCTGGTTCGTCAGTCACACCAAGTACACCACAATCAACAAGCACACCCGTTTCATCAAGTACTCCAGGCACTTCAACCACACCTGCATCTTCAAGCACACCAGGCTCATCTAGTACACCACTATCAACAAGCACACCTGGTTCATCAAGTACACCTGGCTCTTCAAGCACATCTGGCTCATCTAGTACACCAGGTTCAATAGGATCTTTTAGTTCCCCGGAATTACCTACTTCATCATCAGCTACTACACCAAAGGTCCCAAGTACACCAGCTGGTAATTTTTTATCTCTTTTCATAAATAACTTAAGTAACTTTTTAAAATTATTGTGTTCAATAATTACTTTCTCTTTCAGTTTGTGCTTATGAAGTAGAGTTAACAGACATTTCGACTACCAATCTTCCTGTGGGACATATTGTTATATCTCCTGATAAGGACATAACAGGTTCTTCATTTAATTTTGTTGTTGGACCTGGTGTCGAGGTTGTTACTGTTCAAGTGAATGTTCTCTATGGTGCAAGCATTGAGTCTGTCTCTATAAGTGGAACCTTTGTTGAATATGAAATTACTTTGCAATATGAGAATGGAACTCTAAGTCCATATCTTCAGGTAACCTAATTTTTTTGTGTATTACTAACATTGTTAGAAATAGAGATTGAAGTTTATTAAAGAGATTCAAATTTTATTTATAAAATAATATTCTACCAGGTTGGATAGGGCAATTTTACTTTTTTTTTTTTTACTTTTAGACACAGTAGTTAATAGTGCAGATGAAGTAGAGTTTACCCGTTTCTGTGATCTTTGCATAGAAACTAATAGTTATATGTCCTTGCAGCCTTTTATTTACCTTAAGTCAGGTACCTATCAGAGTTGGGTGGACTTAAGGACATTTTTTTTGGACTCCAGTTTGGAACCTTAACTTAAGGTTTTCAGGGTACCATTTGTGCTTTCTACCATATGGCCAATCCATACCTAATTCAATAATATATTATTACTGCATTTTTAAGAAACTTTTTATTAATATAATAGTAAATATAGTTTCATAATTTTTCAGAACACAGATGGGGAAGTTGTCTTTTTACCTAATTCAGTAAATGATTTTAACACTGTTGTGCCTGAGCATTCAAACATTATCTTCACTATTCATGGATCACCCAGTGGTTTCAACGTCATCTTTGATGAATTTAAAGTCTGCCTTCCAGATACAGGTATACTGTAGTTCAGTGTTGTTTTTATAAGTTTAATTAAAACCAGTTACTTGTATTTTTTGCTATTCAAAGATTGGGGAAACCATAGTGAAATGTAAAGTCTGAGTTGGAAGTTCTTGTAGTCCATGTAGTAAATGCAACTGACCACACAATCTTATTGTATACTTATGTTGTTTGGTCAGGTTTAATTTACCTCTCTCTTATCATGTCTGAATGGATAGCTTATCTCATATATTTGACATGATTTTATATATATATATATATATATATATATATATATATATATATATATATATATATATATATATATATATATATATATATTTATGCATATATATATATATATATAGAGAGAGAGAGAGAGAGAGAGAGAGAGAGAGAGAGATTTTTGTTCATGGAGCTCTAATGAAGATCTGAAAGTGTACCTACCTTATATATTTGACTTGTTTCTCTCAATATATTTTTATATTTCTGTTAACTGAGTTCTAGGAAACCTCCGAAAGTGTAGCCACCTCATGTATTTGATTTGTTTCTCTTGATATATTTTTAGATTTCTGTACATTGAGTACTAAGGACGTTCTGGATGCCCTTCATTTCCTGCCCATCGACAGCATACTTGGGATCAATGTTGAGAACAATGAATTAGTTTACACAGGTGACAATGGGGACTTTATTGCAGAAGGTGTTATTGTGAATGGCTCATGTTATGTTTGGTAAGAGCATTAACTTTTACTTGCTGCATTTGACAATATTTAGCCTTTGAGTTAAAAACATTTTAAAATTATTTTTTTTCCTAGCATGCATTAAAACCTTTTTGTCGATTTAATGTTTTCATCAATAAAAAATATTTATTTAAATCTTTTATTTATTGAAAAATTATAATTAAAATGTTCTAAAACAGCAAGTGTTTTTAATTGCATCTGGGATTAGTCAGAAATAAATTTCAAAGATCTTTAATATTTTTTCTGTTATGTCGGGAATTAATTATATTAAAACACAATTTCTAATGGGCATATTTTCTATAATCAATAACAAGAGTATTTTATTAGAATAAATAAATCTATAATCCTAATAAACTTTTTTTTTAATTAAATAAAACCTCTGTATTTATAAATTATATACAATATGTTATATAAAAAATATAAATAATAATATATAAAAATAAAATGAAATATATAAACAATATGTTTTCCCTCTAGCATATGTAAAAACCATCAGCTTGAGTGCACTCAGGTGTCAGATTGCTCAGAATGTCCAACAAACATTACCAGTGAGTGTAAAGGAGACTGTAACAGTGGACTGACTGAAGTGATCTACTCTCCCCCTGGCATCCCTGCCCACTGTCAAGTGGAGTCCACACCTTGTGTCCCTGAGGGCTGCACAAGTTAGTTGTTTTTTTTCTTCACGTTTTTACTCTTGGGCTGTATTGGTCACTTTGATTAAGTTTGTAACTCTCAGATGTTGTTTGGTCCAGCTAATGGTTATATACAAAGCCAACCACCTCAACTTTTCTTACCTTGAGTATGTGCTGTAGACTCTCAAAGGAACCAATTGGGCTTTTTTTTTTAATGTGTTGATGCTGACATTTTGTAAGAAAATGTTGGCAAAGTCCAAGTAAACACAGTTGGTGGTTCTCTAATTAAACCCTTTAGATAACTCAGTGGATAACTCAGTGGATAACTCAGTGGATGCCAGTGAAAGCAATCCACCATCATTTTTTAAGAAACGGGTATCCAGCTGTGATAGTAGTTAAATCACAAACAGCAAGTAAATCAATGGTGTGATTCTTAGAACAAATGGGTAGTTTATTATCACAAACAGCAAGTAAATCAATGGTGTGATTCTTAGAACAAATGGGTAGTTTATTATCACAAACAGCAAGTAAATCAATGGTGTGATTCCTAGAACAAATAGGTAGTTTATTATCACAAACAGCAAGTAAATCGATGGTGTGATTCCTAGAACAAATAGGTAGTTTATTATCACAAACAGCAAGTAAATCGATGGTGTGATTCTTAGAACAAATGGGTAGTTTATTATCACAAATAGCAAGTAAATCAATGGTGTGATTCTTAGAACAAACCTTTAACCCTGATGCTGTAAACAGAAGTAGACAACAGAATTTAAACATTTTCAGCCCCTGCCAACTGCCCCACCCCATGGTCATCATGGTCACCCTGCTCCAGTAACTGCCAACAGTTCCGCAAACGCCACTGCGGAGAAGAATGTGGTGACCTGTGTCACCAGTTCAATGACACAGAAACCCAGGAGTGTGGAAACTGTGCTATCATCTGTAAGATATTTCTAATTGAATTAATGCAAAAATCTTACTTTTTGTTTTATTCGTAGGTTTACATTTTTATCATCCATTCTACTCTTTCTTTAAACCAACAAAAAAAATTGGTTTTAATCACTCCACTGCTATTAGTAATTTTGTACTTCATTTTTTCTATCTTATAATGATGAAATGTTAAAATTTTAAAAGATCTTTCCATTACCTATGTCAATACTGTTTTCTTCTTAAGAAACACGACACTTATTGCTCTAATCTGGCTAAATCTGTTCTGTCTTTACAAGAACCTAGATCTTTGTTCTGTACTGTCTACGCCTTTGCCTTTTAATAAATACTTTATGTCCAATATTGTTATTATAATGAAATGTAAGCATTAGGGTTTGTGATTTATTTTTCTAACAATACTAGCAACCACGGTATTTGAGTGTGAGGATCATGAAGTGCCAGAATGTGTCAGCAAATACGAAGAATGTATGGAGTCTTGTGCTGTGTTCAGGAAAGCTTCAACATGTGATTCTCTCAAGGATGATGATACATGTGTTGACAAATGTATATGTGCTGAAGGGTATTTAAGGTAATTTTGTTGGACTGAATTACTTTCTTGTTTTAAAGAATAATAATTTCTATTTATTTTAAACACTTCTGGATTTTTATGCAAAGAGAAGTTATCTCTGATCAAATACAATGGACATTGTGATGAAGCATGTCTACATGTGTGCTTGAAAAACCATTGCAAACCCAGACTTGACCAGTACCACACTTAACTGTAAACCAACTTCAACCAATCAATCACTTATCCTGTAACCCTAGGAGTCATTGGTGCACCAGAGTTGATTTTCTCATAATTTTCCGCCATCTGTCTCTGTTCTCTGTTGCTCTGAGTAGTTGTACAACAGGCAGCCCAGTCCAGTCTTAGATGTCATCCTTCTAATGGCGCTTTTGCCTTCCCCTTCCTCTCCTACCTGGCACAATGTCCTGCGTAATTGTTTTGGATAGGTGGTTTGTTCTTGAGATGTGCCCTTACCATTTTAATTTTCTTGTTGGAGTTTGAATTTGTGTTCGTGTTTTCTTTTGTGTTTTTGTTTGTGTGTTGCTTTTGTGTTTATGTTTGCCTTTGTGTTTTCCTTTGTGTTTGCATTTGCAATGTGTTTGCATTTTTGTTTGAGTTTGCATTTGCATTTGTTTGTGTTTTCTTTTGTGTTTGTGTTTGCGTCTTGCATTGTGATTGTGTTTGGTTTTGTTCTGTTCTGTTCCCAAGTACATTTAAAAAAGATTCACTGTGGCGAAGCATGGTTATGCAGCTAGTTATTTCTTTGTGTAACTAGAGCTAGGAAACACCTCCACACTATACTTTATATAAAAACATGATGAACTATTTCCATCAGTGATGGTAACCCTATGTTTGATTCTTTTTTATAAAGTAAAGTGTGTTATTTCTCCCCAGGGATGATGCAGGCAACTGTGTCAAAGCAGAGGAATGTGAGTGCTATGAGGGTACTATGGGTACTACACCAATCCCACAGTCATACATAGTTAATGTTACACAATGTCAAACCTGGTCAGTACTTTTAACTTTACTACTTCATCTCATTTTTACTTCATATTTTCCCATCAATGCCCAATACACATGCAGCATTTAAAATAGAGTTTACCTATGGTCAGCCCTATACCCAGAGCTGGGTGGACTCAGGGGCATCTTACAGACTCAAACCCAAGATTCAAACTCTAGGACTTATGGGTTAGCAGTCGTCAACTCTGAGATTAGACCATGCTGTCCCTTGATTTTTACTAAATATGCAAAAATAATTTAAAGGGAGTCATTGGCTGACATTTTTCATCAATTATTAAATAAACTTAACCATTTTTATACAAACTTTTACAGTGAATGTCTGTCTACTGGAATAGTGTGCAAGGAACAATCAAACTGTAAGTTAAACATGACTAATTGTAGCTTGGATTAGTGTTTTTATAACAGGTCCTTGATATAAGATCAATACCTCTTGGCAGTAAACCATTATTAAAACTGATATTTTATTTTAATCTAGGTCTGGCATTGGTTAATTGCTATTTTCTAAGTGTACTCTTTTATCTTTCAATTCAGTAAATAATTTAAACCCAGCATATCCCTTTGTTCTACCACCTAGAGAACTATTATTTTGCTTATTTTACTATTATATGGTTGTTTGAAGACATGTTGATTGGTTATTTTAAATTTTTTAAATAGGTTGTGAACTATCAGAATGGTCTGATTGGTCAGAGTGTTCAAAGACATGTGACCAAGGAATAAAGTCTAGAACAAGGTGAGAGTAACTTTTTAAAAGTTTTTATAATTTTAAGTAGCTAGAACTGCTTTTTCCTAGAAGTTTGTCAAGAACTATCCAAGCACTAAAAGACTATTTTTAATTTGTTGGATTACATCTTCTGTCAGAGATACATCTTTTAATATAATGTAAGGATTAAAAGGATCATTACATTTATTTACATTTTACAAATTACCCCTTAGAAATTACTTGCGCCATAAAGTTCAAAAGGACGTTTAGAAAAGTTGATGAAGCATAGTGCTGTGTAATGCATTGAATTATTCCAACAAATATTATGGTTGGTATTGTGTCATACACTTAAAAATTGCTCAAATATTACGGCCCACATATATCTTTCTTTCATTTGATTGTAAAGTTAAATAATAATCCAACAGATGTTATGGTCTCATTTGAACCATGCGCTGAAAAAATCCAAGAAATGTATATGGTCTAAATTGAACCATGCTCTGAAAAAATCCCTCAAATATTATGGCTAACATATCTTCCTTTAATTTGATTGTAAAGTAAAAAATTGTTTGTTTGTTCATGCAGACAAAAGTTTGGCAGTGGCTGCCCACCAGAGACACAAGTTGTACAGACACAGTCCTGCAACCTGGGTGAATGCCCTTGTATCTTTGAGGGAGAAGAATGGGAATCAGGCAAGGTTGTACAAGACCAATGTCGAGAATGGTATGAGCAATAAATTCATTTATTTTGTTACTATATTTATGTTTTAATTGTATTTCTTAATTATCTTTTTTTTACTTTCCTTTACAGCTCATGCAACAATGGAGCTATGGATTGTCATATCTATGACAATAATGGTAAGTAGGTACAGACATGATCAGATATATGTGACAATTACAATAAACTTGCCCAAACATGGTCAGATATTTCTGACAATATTGAGAAGCTTGTAAAGCCCCAGGCCACATTCACTGTAGGATTCAAGAGGTAGAGTGTGCATATGATAACCCAGAAGACTTTAGTGAGTTTGCCAGGCTGTAAGGAAGTCTGAAGTTCCACTTGGCATTAGTGTGTACTTGGCTTGTCAGGGGAAGTTAAAAGGATTAGCATGGTGCTCACTGTAGGCCAACTATCCATTGAATGAAACTGTCTTAAAGAATGCTTTACTTTACTATCTACCTATATATATATATATATATATATTTATTTATATATCTGGTTATTAATTACTGAATTATTAGTGTTTAAGTAAACACATTAGGTGACACAACTATGGAATAAAAGCCTACCTACATTAAGATATGAACAAAGATTGTTTTACTTTATATTTTGATTTCAATATAAGGTGTTCAAATAAGCAAGTAAAAAAGTTTCTAATTGAAAATGTTGAAAATATTTCATATAAAAATGTTTATTCTAGACATCTGGACAAATGTTGAATGTACAGAGAAATGTTACTGTAACAGCAGTGGAATCATGGAATGTGTCAGGGACCCTGAGCTGGAGAGATGCAGAGAAGTTATACACAACTGTAACAATGTGAGCATTGTTTGAAATTGTTCATGTGTCACCTTAAGTCTAGTGGCTAGCACATTTATACACAACTGTAACAATGTGAGCATTGTTTGAAATTGTTTGTGTCATCTTTAGCCATGTGGCTAACACATTTATACACAACTGTAACAATGTGAGCATTGTTTGAAATTGTTTGTGTCATCTTTAGCCATGTGGCTAACACATTTATACACAACTGTAACAATGTGAGAATTGTTTGAAATTGTTTGTGTCATCTTTAGCCATGTGGCTAACACATTTATACACAACTGTAACAATGTGAGAATTGTTTGAAATTGTTTGTGTCATCTTTAGCCATGTGGCTAGCACATTTATACACAACTGTAACAATGTGAGAATTGTTTGAAATTGTTTGTGTCATCTTTAACCATGTGGCTAGCACATTTATACACAACTGTAACAATGTGAGAATTGTTTGAAATTGTTTGTGTCATCTTTAACCATGTGGCTAGCACATTCATACACAACTGTAACCATGTGAGAATTGTTTGAAATTGTTTGTGTCATCTTTAACCATGTGGCTAGCACATTTATACACAACTGTAACAATGTGAGAATTGTTTGAAATTGTGTCATCTTTAGCTTAGTGGCTTGCACATTTATACACAACTGTAACAATGTGAGAATTGTTTGAAATTGCTTGTGTCATCTTTAGCCTTAGTGGCTAGCACATTTATACACAACTGTAACAATGTGAGAATAGTCTGAAATTGTTCATGTATTACCATAAATCTAGTGTCTAGCACATTTCCAAAATCATTTTGTTGAGCTTCACAGTTTTTAAACTAGGTTGTGTTTTAAAAAAAAAAATGTGTATGCTTCCCAAGTATGCAGTTTTCAAAAGCGAATATTTTAATTGATTTATTGAATTATTAGATGGGTTAATTCTACTAAGTGTTTTTCTCACCACTTCTAAACAATTTCACTTTTCTTTCACTATCTTAGTAATAAATTGCATGTGAATATTTTTTTAATTCACATTTTAGTACTGCCAAAGTGTTTGCTAGTTTTAATGAACTTATAACATATAATACATTATATTGCCTAATCTTTCTTTTAATGAAACAAAATTATTTATTTTATAAGGATATCTTAATGGAACATTGAATCAAAATATTCTCCAAGTTGTAATGGATGTGTCTCTAATGTTTTAGGCCACTCACATCCTGCAATACACTGAAGGAGATGATTGTTGTCCTCAATGTATACCTGTGATGATACCATGTACATACAAAGTCAGCTCCACAGAACCTCTCCAAGTCACTGACAGTGTGTCTGGACTCTGTGTGTCTCAGCCTTTAGATATCGGAGTAAGTCAGTGAAAACTTATGTGATGTTATCAAATTGATTGCGTGGTGCCAGAATTACATTGACATTCAGATGAAGATGTGCAATTATTATTCATATCATTAACTTTTTGTACTTAATCTCCCACCAGATGTGCTCAGGAACATGTGACTACAGCACAGATATGGTTGTCAACAGAAAATTCCAGTCTGGAAGATTTGAACTCTTTACTGAACAGAACTGTGCATGCTGCAAGGCTAGCACATCAAGTAAATCAGTAGACTTCCAGTGTGCTGATGGTACAACCAAATCTTACCAAGTCTCTTACATCTCTGGATGTAGCTGTGACAGATGCCAATGTAAGTTTGTTTCAAACTTTTTTTATTTATTCATCTAGTTTTCCACTTGATTCCTGCCTCTAAAACACTGCATTCACTTGACTTTTTGTCTAGTTTTATTGCAATGGAAGAGACTTGGGTCATTTACTGCTATTACTATACTTAAATTATAAAGTGATACCTCTCTATACCAGACTGCTTGCCCTGTTGAGTCATCTTATCTTATGTATGACATGTTTTTAGGTCTACTATTTTAGTTAAAATTGTTTCACTAATATGGGACGGCGGTCTAGCGGTAGAGTCTAGACTGCTAATCCAAAAATCGAGTTTGAACCTCCCTGAGTCCACCCTACTCTGATTGATACCTAACTCACGTAAGGGAAATTAAATGTGGCTAGCCATAGTGCTGTCCACACTATCTCTCCATATGTAGAGTTCCCCGAAACAGGTGAACTCTACTTGCCCTATTGAACGCCAGGTTTGAAAAGGGAACTTTACTAATGCTAATTAATTATAATTTTCCTCAAACAAAGCGTAAAAAGAACAAGGTAACATATGATAGACTAGGCAAACAGGAGAAAAATAAATAGTAAATCCATGAAACAAAGAATATCTAACTGATTCATCAGTGATGCTTTGAGATTTTTAGAAGAATGTTTTAAATCACATACAAACCAATTTTTCATTATAGTGTTATACAATAGTCTTTTCACATATTAAACAATGCATGTTAAAATGAAACCCCATTTGGTAATATACTAGCAAAAATGTTCATGGATTGCTTTTTTTTTTGTCAACAGAGCTAAAGCACAGCAGAAAACCAACAGGATCACCATACAGCTTGTTTGTCAGCCATCTTTGAAAATAAATAAATATTTTAAACAATATCTGTATTATTTAATTTTTTTTCTGTTTGTTACAGACAAAATGTGCAAGTCATATGGGGGAAAAATTCTATAAGAATCTAAGCTAATTGGGTCAGCCTAACTATTATGTAACAAAACACAATGGGCCTAGTTAAGTCCCTCAGGATTGGTTGACTAAGCTTTCTGTGGGTGGGCCAATAGATTAGAGGCTTACATCTTGTTTTAAAAAGTAATTAACATATTTTTAGCTGTACTAAAATTACTCAATTAGGGATGGGCTGGTGAACACGCATTCTTAAATGCGCATCAAGATAAAGGTCCCTTTTTATCATATGTATGATTAACACTACTATAATAAAACTAAATTTCTAGTTTTTTTAAAATGGTTTCTTTTATCTTCGGCTTAAGAGGATCATTTTTCTACGTCTGTTTTTGGCCCGTGTTTACCGCGAGCAAGCTAATTCATTTCCTATACCCATTTATAAAGGGATTGTATGTTGCAAGCGTTAAAAGTATCGAAAAACGTAAAAATGTGCGTCATAATCTCGCTAGGCAACGGTGACATATGTTGCTTGGTTAGCTGATAAGCTAGAGAAGAGCGTGTTCTTATACAACACATTCCTCATGAGTAAGGTCCAAGGCCCGATTGGATTGTAAGGGAGCGTCCATACACGACGTCAGTCACACTTCTAAGCTGAAAGGGTTATTGGGGGAGGGGGGGCGGACTTTTGTAAAGATGGGGGGGGGGGCTTTTGTGGTGATTGGAGGGGGTTTAACATCGTTTTAAAAAGCATGACGTTGTTTATGGATGATCCCTTCTGCTAAGTGCATTGAAGTCAAGAAATTACGGGAACATTCGTTAGGACATGCCTTAAAGACAAAACAACAACAAAAACATACGTCAATATTTTTAAGGGCAGACATATTCTTTCAAACTGTAGACTAGGGTCAATAGAGAAAATTGTGAAAAGAAGTGACCAATGGTTGCTTGCTGCAACATGTGGAAATATAACTAAAAAGCCACTTCCTCTCACCCATACACCTACCCCCCTCCCCCCACCCCTGGTGGGGAACTAGGCAGAGTATAGCTTACGTGTAGGCCTATTACACTAATCCTAGGCTTTAAACAACATAGAGTCTACTTTTTGAATGTCTAAATCAATTGGAAAATAAACGATCTGTAATTACAGCTTATCGGATACTTAATCCAGTTCGCCTATATCGATGAGTGGGCTTTTTGTCTTAAGTAGGCTCTGGATAAACTAACTGCTTTACTTATTTAATTTATTTTTGTCCTATCCATAAGCTACTCCATGAAGTTGAGACATGAAAGTAAAAGCCTAATTGAGTGGTTCTTAAACTTTTTAGATGTAACGAGCCCCAACAATTTCACATGCATTCACATAACCCTTCTATCGACCGAAATGACAAAAGCAAATCGTGAATAATATGAGTCGGGGGTACATCTTGACCTCCGATGAACCCCTCAGACTGACTCACCAAACCCCTGGGGTTAGGTTGAACCCAGGATAAGAACCTCTGGCCTAATTATTTGACATACGCCAACAGTAAAAGAACTATATTAAATTTGAATATATTACCGACACACAGGTGATAATGGCATTTAATTCCTTTATTTTAACAACCCGATGTTTAGCGGAGGTTTCTTTCAGAGAAACTGTTCAGGGGTAGTTAACTATTTCGCGGGGGGGGGGGGGGGGTGTTAAAGAATATGTTGTATTTAAATTGAATACTTTTCTATATCCACCCACCCTCCTGCAGAGATGTCTGACAGTAACCTACTGGATGTACCACCGATACATTCTCTTTAGAAAGCATATCTTGGAAATTGCAAGATCTTATAAATAAGCGTGGAGTAGATCTACAACCAGCTAGGGACCATCTACAGATTCTCTTCCCTTGGTGGCATTTATCCCCCTGTCGTACATCTTCATTATCACTTCCTCTGTGTTTTTAAAAACAATGTTCTCAGTGGGGGGGGGGCACCTTGATTTTAACTGTAAATTTTCTATATAAATTATGTATGTTTCTATTTTGTTCGGGGAGAGGGGGAGCGGTGGAAGTGGTTGGGGGGGGGGGGGGGGGGTGGAGCAGCGCCACTTGATGAGATGCCAGAAAGCAACTCTGCCGTCACAAATCCTGAGATTAACATTTGCATAGCGTGTAGGCTACTAGACATATGTGAAATGACCAGCGTAGTCAACAGACACTTCAACATTGATCAAGTAAAAGATATTGACTTTAATATATTATTGATTGTGAACTAACTCAAGTTTTCTGAAACATGTAAATTGTATCGTACATATTTCTAACGTTGGGTAATTGGTCTCCATCTTGTTCATGGAGTGTTGGTTGGAGATATATTTTGAAGGTGTTGGTAGACCTGCTGGCCCATTATGCTCTTACATGTCTTACTTCTTTCATTTTAGGCAGGCCGGTACAGTGTAATTGGTAATCGGCCCGGACCGCAGAAACAGGAAGTGCGAAAATTAAACATTTTTTCAGCTGCCGAAAATGTTTTCCTCTAAATCAAAGTTAAAAATATAACAATTTAAAAACAAAATCCAATTATTAAAGATATTGATCAGCCCACAATTTCAACAACACATTTTGCTTTTAATTTCCACACTTAGGAAACTGCTTCAGCAATTCTGGAAAAATATTCCAGTAGACCTGAGAAGACAGGCCACTGGATTCTCCCAGTTATTCTACTCCAGTTGTAGGCTACTTCAGTATGAATATTTTATTTACAATTGAACGTGAATAAAAGATCAAAAACTAATTCCTTGTGGTGTAAATATGCTAAAACATAGACGTATTATTTACCTAAAGACATTACATTTCTCTAGCAACATTTTACTTGCGACAGTAGGGAAAAAATTAATTTACAAACTGAACACATAGTTTACAAAATTCTTTAATTTAGAGTCCCACAGATTTAATTTAGAACACCCTTATTTTTCTTTTATACACACAAAGCATATACGTAAAAATTGCTATTTAAAATACAACAGTGCCAATAACAGCAACAACAATATGATAATTCATCAATAATCCAAATCAATTAGAACTAGAAGTCAATTCATCAATAAATCGTGCAAACAATATGACAACTATCAAAGAAATTAGTTGTGTTACATTTATGATGAAAAAAAAATGTTTTGTGTTTATCATTAAGCACTTTAAAACAAAGTTAAAAAAAAAGAACCATTGCAAAAAAAGCAGCTTTCAGCATAATTTGTTTTACAAATTATCACATACTACAAATAAAATTACTTTTAAAACAGCAAACATACTTGGAAGCATACTTTTAAAACCACATAAATTCTATGAAGCTTTTTTTGACTGATATCATTTTGAGCTATTACAGAACTAACCCTGTTGAATTGATATTCAATGGGAAGAAGTTTTATGCCAAAATAATCTAAAAATTAGCGAAAACAAAAAGTCCAGTCATACAACTAAAATAAAACTAATTATAAAAACTGTTACTAAAAAAACAGAAACCATCTTTTTATATGTTAAAAGGAGACTTAGTCAAAATCTTTCAGCATGAATCATATAGTAAGCAGCTGAATATTCAATATCTCACATTATTTCAATAAGACAACCTTTAAGAAGGAATGTATTTACAGTAAAATGTGTACATGCTAGAACTCATAATTAAACCCCAGATGCTATTTGTCTGTTAATTTTCTCCATAAGTATTTTATCAAGTTTCTTCTGTCGCAAGTAAACCACAGTGTAAGATGACAAGCCCAATACAAGTGTACAGATTTGAAACTTCCAGAAATCTCTTTCTTCAATTGCTGGAGATATGTCACACCTGGGGATAGAAGATTTTAAAATCCAAATGTTGAGCATACCTCATGTAACTAAACTTAAACATTTTTAACAGCACTAGTTCTCAAGTTCTCACTTGACTTATAGGATTATTTTTAATATGGATGATATATTACTTACTTTGGATGTTTTAAGATTTTTTTTTACAAAAAATGCTAAGCTATACAATAGAACAGCATTGTGTATATTCAAGATAATAATTCATACTAAATGCACTTTTATCTTTTAATAATTAACAAAATAAGTGTAATTTGTACATTACCATATAAATTCCTCTTTTCCATTATCACATCGAATCAACTCTTTGTGTCCAGTTTGCATGCAATATGGCACTAGTTGGCGCTGAAAGTAAAATTTCATACATTTCATAGTTTAAAAACTTTGCTCTAAATCTGAAATTTTTTAGCTAAAAATGCCTTGCTCTTTACTTTAGTCAAATAAATTTTGCATTGGGGGCAGATAAAACAGTAAAAATACATGTTAACTAAATTGACAGTAAATCATTTAAAAGAACGTACTAATTCTTCTTTAGGGCATCTCTGACACTGAGATAGTGATGTGTAGTTTGCACATGATGAGGCTTTCTTTGCTGTAGAAAAAAAATCATATAAATGTAAGCTATAAACAATGTAATGTGGTGAGTGTTTAAAAGACAACCACATACAACAACACTAAACAAAATCTTTACATAATCCACACCTTTGCTCCTAATCTGTGCTTCTTGTATTGCTAGCAGTCTGGTATACTCCCAGTGACTCCTTAAAAGAAGGCCAGCAATGGTGAATCTTGTTAAGTAGAAAAAAAAAGAATCAAATTAATGAAATGCATCTGATCCTACAGAAAAGTTATAAAAATACCATTGCAATGATTATTTTTAGTGCATATTTTGATACAAAACAACCATGAGGCACAATACAAGTTGCCTTGGGTTAAAAAAATCAATATGTGAGTCTGCATACATTTATCTTGCTTATGTTTACAAAACAATATCTGCAAAATATAAGGAAGGATAATGGGTAGTTCTAGTAGTAGTAGCGATGAAGTCAACCACAAATAATAAGTCTCCTTGTTATGTAGTCCAGATTTTTGTCAACAGGAAATCCAAAGACCTAATTAAGATTAATATATAAGACATTGTATTTGGTCCTAGTTCAGAGGTACTGATTTGTCTTTAGTGCATCAATGGAAGTGTGCTGCTTAATTTTATTCTTTGTTCTATCCTCTTTCATTATACTTTCAAAGGGGTTAAGTTCTCTTAATTAAGTGATAAAAAAATCCTTGACCACACCCAAATTTAATCTTCTAGCATACATCTTTAATGTTTCAACTATCTTGCTAGTAAACCTACGAGAGTAAGCCTAATCAAGCCTGTTTGGGGTATTGTAGTATTTGTACTAATTCTACGACCAAGGTCAGAAATTATATCTGTAAACTGACATGAAATATACAGTTTACTAAAAGACCAGTAATTTTTGCTAAAAATATTAACTTACAGTGCAAGAAAGACTGCAAAAACAGCAATTCTTCGTTTTGTTAATACTTCAATCATCATGTTTTAGTTACAGTATCAGCATAGTCACACTTGTAGCTGCTCTATCTGAAAATAAATTAATTTTAAGTTACAAAATTACATTTGAATTTTTCCTGCACCACTGACAGAAATACTCACTAAATGTAAAATTTGGGGCACAGTTAAGATTAAAAAAAAAAAACAATGTTTGCTTTATAAAAAAATAAATAAAACAACACTCTAGCTTCAGATTCAAACTCAGAGCTCATAAGTCAATATCTGCCAGTCAAATCTGCCTTGATGTGTTAAAATAATAAATATTTGAAATAAGTAGACAGCTGATGACTAAAGTAAATAAACTATATTTTCTTATTGTAAGACAAAATATATCATGATTTCAAGTAATATGCATCTAAAATGTTTTGAAATAGTAGACACTAGTATTAGAAACTTAAGAAACTATTACTCCTAAGTTTTAATATTAGTACTATAATAGAGTTTATTAGTTATGTTTTGGAGTATTGAATAGTATTCCTGATTCCTATTTTTAGATTACAATGTACAGAACACAAAATTAATAGGATTGCTAATGTGTGATCTGCATAGGTACTGCATTATTATTTTTTATATTTCATTAGCCTAAGTTTAGAAGCCTATTAAATAAAATAATAGGCTTACCATTCATCATTGAATACTAGCAGTAGGCTATTCGGTTCTCAGCTAACAGGTTTGTTTAATTCATCTCACTAAGATCGCAGCCAGTTTTCATTACATGGTAGAGAGATAAAACTAATGATTTTAAAGCCATCACCAATTTTAGAAATTGAAACTACTCATTTCTATTTAATGTCTGTTAATTAAGGATATTTTAATGTACTTTGATGTCATTTCGTTGTTTTTCTTCCATGCAATGCTTATTCTTTGTGCTCAAATCAAATAGCTACTAAACAACGCTCTCATTAAAAACAATCTTATGAATAATAGATGTTTGAAAGCCTTAGTTTATATACATGACAACATCTTAAATATCATTTGGCCGTATGTATGGTCATATCCTCTAATTATGCCATTTTATCATTATTTTATTGCCAAAAACGAAGCTCAGGATAATGTGTGCCACGCTAAAATTTAGTCATTTGACCACATGTATGATAATTTTTTATATCATGTCATACCTAAAAATAGAAGCATTATGCTTTTCTCATTGATGAGAATTTTTTATTTATTTTTTAAATTGAAAATATTAATTATTAGTTAGATTGCAATTTTTATAACTTGCAATACTTACCCTCTGTCAATTTAAAAAGCATAGCATGCTAACTCTAACTAACTGTGTACAAATATTGTCATAAAACACAAAAAATATAGGTAAAGTTCATATTGTGATTTGCCAAATCCCCTCAAGAAAGCATGTGTTTACTAAGCTCTTTATCACACTTTAAAACCAAAATTTTTAATTAATTTTCAAATTTTTATTACATATAAAGTTAAAATTAGATCTAAAAGCAAATGAATAAAGCAAGTTTTTATGGAGGTCATATGCGAAGTACCGATTATGTAGTTTTTTTTTACAAAAGTGAGGAAGGATAGGCAAACTGTCACATTGGAAATTTTTTTTGGTTGACCTAATAAATAATAACCGGACACAATTTTACACATTTTTTAGCTTAATTGATTTTTTTATGCTATTAAAACGTGGATGGTTGATACTGTTAATAAATAGATTTGATAATTTCATCAAAATGCTTATATTTTATTAAATAAAGTACATTTGAAACCTATTCTGTATCAGACACTAGTCACTAGTTTTGAAGGGTCTAGCTCATTTTGGGCTAAATTTAATAATTAGACCTAAGTTACTGAATTATGAATAGTAATACTGCTGGCTACCCTGGAGGCAGGGCTGGTTGCTAACAACATTATGGCGTCAACACCAAGTAAATCTTCCAACGATTTTTGTCTTAGTTCCAGTAACCTTCTAAGAATTACTTTTAGAAATGTTTACCATGGGCACAATGGTGGGTTTTTCCCGTTATAAAAATAAGCTATAGGTGGCAGGGCTATATATGCCAGAAAAGCATTTCAAAATTTGCTTTGGAGAATGAAGGCTAAATTTGAATGAAGGCTAAATTTAAATGATGGTTTTATTAACAATAATAGAACCTTTAAAATATCAGCCAGAGGAATACAAAATTGATTGGAATATTGTAGCTTTATTAGTAGATATGTCAGTCTATGAAAAAATATAAAAAATATTGTAAACCACTTTTTTATAAGTATATGACGCTCCAATAAAATGACAACAAATTTTTCTTTTTTTTAAAAACCATGTGACTGCTATTTAGTGATCACTAGTGAAGAACTTTATTGCATAGCCAGTTTGATATAATCGCAAAACTTATCAGCGTAATGATGACAATCGGCGACGTTACATTACACAAGCTACTTTTTATTTTAAAGATATTGACTAATTTAAAAAAAAAAACGGTGTGGAATTCAGCGTGTAAGGCGATGATGGAAAATCTCAAATATGAGTTGTTCTTGCTGTGTGTAGCATGACATATGCTAAAGGCCTACACAACTGATATCTAAACCAATGTGAACTCAGTGACCCCTTGGCCATGTCAAGATTTTTTTCCCGCTCATGAGAAAAAGTAAGAGTCAGATGTTTAGAATCAGCATATTTCTTGATGAATTTTTTTTTTAATCTACATTTTATCTAGGCTAGGTATTATCTAGAAGAAAATAAAAAGTTATTTAAAAATACAATCCATGATTGATCTAGATAGGTCTAAATCTAGTTGTTAAGTAAAAAAAACTTTCTTCTCGCACATCTCAAACAACCTGCCTCGATAAATTATATTCCACCACAGCTATGTCTCGCCCATTCCTGTATCGCATTTTACCCACACCCAAATCATTTTTTAAATAAATATAAACCTAGGCTTGCATAATTTATTATTTGATGATTTAGGCCTAAACTTGAGAAAGTCTACTCGTGAAAAATGAAGAGAGATTTAGATCTAGATGTAGGTTTAATTTTAACAGAGACATTTTCCATGCAAAACCCGTCTTCCAATGATCAAGGCAAGACCACAGACAGACCATTTGCAGAGTTAATTATTATAATTAAGTTCACAACATAGACCAAATGACTACTGTCCAACATGATATTGGTAGGATGGGATGGGGGATTGTTAAGGAAGATGCTCGAAACTTGAAACCATCCAGCGGGATAACACAGCTGAAATTTAAACTAGCTAAACATTGTCTAAAACTCTAAAACTCAGATCGGGAACATTAAGTTTTACCACCAGAAAAAAAATTCTACGCTTAGTCGATTTTGATCTAGATCTAGATCTATAAGTATAAGTCTATGAGATTTCTCTTCTATAAGGCTAATTCTTGACTGTAGGCAAAAGCTTAACCTTTGCGACATAATAAACTAGCTAAACATTGTCTAAAACTCTAAAACTCAGATCGGGAACATTAAGTTTTACCACCAGAAAAAAAATTCTACGCTTAGTCGATTTTGATCTAGATCTAGATCTATAAGTATAAGTCTATGAGATTTCTCTTCTATAAGGCTAATTCTTGACTGTAGGCAAAAGCTTAACCTTTGCGACATAATCGTAATTCCGTAACCAGGGTGTCAAAATCGTAAAGAAAAAAGTAAAAAGTTACGGGCAAAACCCTACTGTACAAGTACAAGTAGATCTAGATCTACAACTAGATACAAGTGAAGACACAAGAATAAATAAGACGTAGATCTACATTACAAGTTCAACAGTTGGCAACCCTGCCTTTCTTTCATACTACTCCTTGACCGGGTGTGGGGAAATTGCGAGACGCGAAAAGCGAAATGGCGAGGCGGGAAAATGCGAGAAGGTAATGCGAGACATACCTGCGGAATTAAGGGTAAATAGCGAGACACTTTTTGCGAAAAAAGTTTTTTCCTTTTTTTTTTCATCTTTATTTATTTCAATTATTTGTTAAAATATTTTTAAAATAAACAAGCATTTAACCATACCCTTTAACACGAGTGTTGTATGTTGTTATTTTTTATCTAGATACTAAGAAGATAGATCGATCTATATCTAGATCTATCTATTTAAAAATCCTAACATCGTTGCTGTGCTACTGTCATCGCCCGCTCTTGTTAGCGAGAGGAAAATCCCGTCTCAGTCGGCATTAATTTAAAAATCTAGCCCGCTCATGTTTATACAAACGTGAGCTGTGTCATTGTGAATTGGTATAATCTTGTCAACAGGAGAGATATTCTGCAACATCTATTTATGGATTTGTGTACTTGCAAAAAGTGTAAAAGTATAAACAATTCTAAAAAGTGCAATTTATTTTTTTATTAAGTAATTTTAATTACAAACAAAATTTACAAACAAAATCTTCTGAAACAGTCCTCAAACACACCTCGTGACACCATCTTTCACACATAGTACACCCAACCCAGTTCATTAGACTCCCATTTATACATTTTTCTTTTGCTACTTCTTCCAATCCACATTCACAACATTTCACATTCTCATCACAGTTGACCTCCTCGTTCATCCCACAAACAACACTGGCACCCATGTTCTCATCATCATCATACGCACGCTCAACATCTGTTTTCCGTTTTTTATTATTTGTATTTTTTATCATTTCTGTAATTTTGGCAATGTCTTGCTCATTGTTGTCACCAGCAGTTGAGTTTTTTTAAAACATCGATATTTTCCCAAAATCTTGTCTAATTTCGGTCAAAATAGAGTATTTTAATCAATTCCTATTACAATGTATTAAAACAGTTTTCTAAAACGCGAAAAAACGTCTAAAATTCTTTTTCTAACATTGCTTTTTTATAGTGTGACTTCACATCTAACCCCCCCCCCCCTCCTCCCGTTCATCACACATCGTCATAAAATTACAGACCCCCCCCCCTTACGAGTGTGACGTCATTTATGGAAGACCCCAAATAACACCACCACCAAAACCAAAAAATTCAGATAAGTTCAACTTGGTTTTAAAAATATTTGAAGTAGGCCCATAGCTTACGATATAGCACGAGCAACTGATAATATCGGTGACGTCACTTTATTTTGTTGTATCCAAATGATGTAGGCATTTCCTTATGCTTAGATTTATATGGTAAAAAAAGCTAGAAAAAAATCGTAGGCGGCGGCTATAATACAAAATTTCTATGCAACAATAGAAAATACTAGAATACCCGTCATCCGTTGGATAACTGTGGGTTTCGGGGGTCATCCATCAAAAAACATCACGTCTGTCACTCAGAGGCATAGCGACCCTTCCTGGCGCCCGGGGACAAACTTTTCGATTTTAACCCCCCCTCCCAAGATTTCAATTTTCAACCCCCCCCCCCCCCCTCAAACTTTTGATGTGCACCCCCCCCCCCCCCACTCAAACTTTCGATTTGAACCCCCCTCAACCTTTCAATTTATTTTTCCAAACCACACTATCCTTTCATATGCTTAGGACAAAGAAACAGACAAACTCTACTTCACCAGCCCTGTATCCTGCCAAGTTCAGATGGGCAACTTTATTATTCACATCTAAAAAAAAAATTGAAAAAAAAAATCATTGACGAATTGGTCTAGAACCTGTGCCACCCACATGAGAGCCGACCTCACTACCAAGTTAGCTATTTACTCTTGACATTATAAGTGAAGTTTTATACTATACTTTGAGTCTCCTTACGCGCATAGATCTAGATCTAACTCTAGTTCTAGTAGTAGTAACTTTCAAATTAAATTTTATCTTAAATTAGCCAAACAAAGATTTATATAAAATAAAGAAGGTCTGAAATTATCTAGATCTAGATAGAATTATCTAGATCTAGTCTAGATTCTACGACTCTTTTGCTTAAGTCTTCTTATGTTTAGTTTTTCTTGCTAGACCTAGAATCTAGATCTAATCATTAGCTACGCTTATAGGCCCGGAGCGAGCATTTCAAAATTACCATATTCCAAACAAAGATTTATATAAAATAATAAAGGTCTAAAATAGTTTAGTATATAGAAAATCATTATTATCTAAATCTAGATAGAAAATTATCTATATTTTAGATCTACGACTGAGCTATATCTAGAGTTTACGTCTATAATTTTGCACACTTAGCGGTATAGAAGCCGCGTATGAATCTTAAGTTATGCAAATAGGCCCCGCATCCAGCATTTCCTAATTAGCATATTTCATAGCTATACAAAAAAAGATTTATATAAAATAATAAAGGTCTAAAATAGTTTAGTATATAGAAACTCATTATTATCTAAATCTAGATAGAATTATCTATATTCTAGATCTACGACTGGTTTGCTAAAGTTTCGTTTTTTTTATTGTATTTATAACTAATAAATCTTGGATTTGACCTAGATTTTTAGATTCTAGATTCTAGATCTAGATCTATAAATAACTTTCCTTCGACAGCTGATCTTTAGACCTAGAGAAATTTATTGTAAAACTAAATGAAAAAGACAGTTGAAAATTGATATAAGTGTTGGAACGTAATAAATACAGCAAACGGACGTATTGTTAAAGTTATGACCGACAGAAAATTAGATTTAGAACGCGTTAAACTTGTGAATGGGAACACAATTTTCTTCGATAGACGCCGCCATTTTATTGTACTAAAGAGTAAACAAAAACCTGTGACGTCACGGTCCCGCCGAGTCTAGTGGCTTTTCAAATATTTTTTAAAAAAATGGGTTACTGTACGTATGAATAAATCAATAAATTAATTAACGTCTTTAAATAAATTTGTGATCAACAGTCTGTCTGCATTAAAAAATTATTCTCTACCTACATACTATTTTACAGCTCTCCAGATAGAGTCGAACATATCACAATTTTCAATCAGGCAAACAAACAAATAAATATTCAAACATGTAAACAAACTTGACTTTTAGTAGTATATAGATGTTTGCGGCGGCAGCGGATCCGGGCACGGCGATCTTCAAAGACGGTAAATCAGGCGGCCTTGGCGTTCCACACAAAAGACAGAAGTTGATCTATCGTCTGCGGTATTTCCGTCGGTTTCGAACAATGTGGTATTCTAAGTCGACACAAAAGATGGGGGGAGTTGACAAATCATCAGTATGTCTAGCGACGGAAAAATCGGAAGTTTTAACAATGTAAACGAAACTCCTTGAAGTCTGGACCAAATACCACTGAAAATCGGGTGCGGTAAATTTTTCGCAGAAATCTTCGCATTTCAACACCACCCTGCGTAAGTATCGGCTTGTGGTAAAATGCGAAACAATAAAGTCACGTGACCGACCGTTTTCGCGCCCTTCTCGCATTTTCCCGCCTCGCCATTTCGCTTTTCGCGTCTCGCAATTTCCCCACACCCTCCTTGACCGTTTCTACGTACCTAAAATGATAGAATACCAAATAAATTAATAAAGGCTAGACCAATTAGATTTAATTAAACGACAAAAAAAGATTTAGGTTTAGAATCTAGATCTAGATCTCTAGAAGAAATCTAAACTCTCTTGCTAGATTTCTAGATTGAGAAAGTTTTTGTCAATCGACGATTCAACCATTTGATAACTATCTCGTAGCAGTAAAAAATATTATATGGCCAGACTTCATAGAACAAAAATGCTAAAGCTAGTACATCTACAAGTAGGATGATTTGGGTGAAATTTTTGACTTGGTTTTACAGCCAACATTATGGAAAAAAGTTTAAGGTTATTAGAATTTATTTAGGTCTAGATTACTCGATATATTAAAGCTTACACATAGATCTATATTTAGGAAAACAGTAATAGAAGAAGAAAGTTTTAAGAAATGAGTCAACATTTTGTCATGGGAGGGGAAAGGATTGTAGAAAAAAAAAGTCACAGGAATAAGAGTAAATCAATACTAATAAGACTGAACTATATGCAACTTATAAACAACAAAATGAACAAATAAATTTCTTTAGGCCCTAAATCTTTTTTAATTTTTAATTTTTTTTTTAGATATAGATGAAAAATGTGCTTTGTTCCAGGTTAAAAATAGGCCTACTTCTTTTTTTTTTTCATAAAATAGGTTCATATGTTTACGCACCAGAATTCCAAAACTTCAAAATCCTTTTCAAAATTCGAATTTGATGTCCTTAAATTTGGTGATGAAAAAATTGCGTGGATCGCTTCTTTTTACCATTAAAAGTGATTTATCGAAGGATCTTAGCAATAGTTTTGAATTTTAAGTGATCAAAATGTGGCTATAGGCCACTTGTGATCCCGTATGACTTTTACCCCCACATTCCCTTACTATTTAATTACATAAGGAAAAATTAATTACATTTTTGCATATGCCTATGTGAGCGGCTGGAGTGTATTTTTATTATTTGTAACTTAGAAGGCGAATGTATCGTTTCGTTTCATGTCGTAAATTGTTCGTATTTTTTAGTTGTGTAGTCCCGTATTATGGCGCCGCTGTCTCACTGTTTATGTCCCTGGTTATAGCTAGTTTATATATATTTCGTTTATATTGTTGTCATTGTTTATAGTAAGTGTCTTTTTATAATATTCTGTTGCATGTTTCGTCGTGTTTGGTTTGTTATCCGTGAATTAGGGACTATTTGTTTACGTGTAGCGTGTGAGGTGTGTGGAAGTCGGTTTCCGGCTTGTTCAACTCTGTCTTTGTGTGGAAAGCTGCGGTGAAGGGAGCAGGCAGTCTCTCTGGTCATCGGGTGAAAAGAATAGCAAATTCGCACCATCCAGCCATATTTATTTTGTGTTTGTGTTCGTCGTAGTCCTGGACGTAGTCCGAAATTGGGTGTTGTGTTTGATGTAAAAAGTTTGTTTCGTTTGGTTCTGTTTTGTGTCAGTTTTATCTATTCTTTTTTTATAACTTTTGGTTCCATATTTTGTTGAATAAATCTATATTAGTCATTCTTGATAAATAAATTTTATTAACTGTAAAAGTTTTTGTTTTATTTTAGTAGCTTATTATCTAGACTAAGGTTAGGGTTTAACCACTGTGGGTTCTACCACGGTTGCACTGACCGGACAGATTAGTTAGTTAAGCCTAGAAGGGTAGATTTTAAGGTATCCCCCCCTAGCAGGGCTTACAAATTGGTAGCACGAGTGGGGTCAGTGCTTTAGTCTAGTTAAATTTTTGTTTTTTTAGGGCTAGTGTAGCTTAGTTAAATTTTTTTGTTTTGATAGGCCTTTTTTTTGGAACCATATGTGTTTAGTTTTTGTTTAGTGTAGGAATTGTTTGTAGTCTCAACACCCAATTAGGACGAGATGGCGGAGGCTGCATCGACCAACATAATCATCGTCCCACCCAGGGAGGCCCACATTAGGAGGTTTCATGGAGACAGCCATGCCTCTGAGGTTGATCGCTTCATTGAAGAAGTCCGGGCTGCCTGGAAGGTCAGGAAGGATCTCACGGCCGATGAGCAGAAGGACCTCCTCTGGCAGTACCTGGGCGAGGCAGTGCGGGAGGAGCTGAGTTGCAGGGGTGACGACCTGAACCGCGACCCGGAAGCCACCATCAGGCTCCTCCGGGAGGTGTATGGCGAGAAGAGGAGCGTCTCGCAGCTCATGGCTCAATTCCAAACGGTGCAACAGGGCCCACATGAGTCAGTGAGGGCCTACTCACACCGCCTACACCGGGCATTCAAGACCCTTGTTGCAAGGCAGGGCACCCTGCAGGTCCCACAGACCGACACGGAATTTCTTCGGGACCAGTTCCTTGAAAACCTGAGCCAGTCCTCGGTCCGACGTCAGCTCCAAGAACTTGTGTTCCACGACCCCAAAACCCCCTTTATGGCTCTACGGGACGCAGCCATCAGGTGGTCCGGAGATGAGGATCCAGGGGCAGAACCTGCTTATGTAGCAGCTCTACAGGCCCGCCCCAAGGAAGAACCAGCCTTGCCCAGATCCAAGCTAGAAGACAAGGTAGACAGGCTAGCAGAGCAGCTGTCAGCCCTGTTGACCCATTTGGCCCAGAACCCCCCTGCTGCCTTTCCCCAAGTGCCAGCTGGTCGAAGGGTACTCCGCCGACGTCCAGAGGCGGAAACAAGAACATGTTACAATTGCCACCAACAAGGCCACTTAGCCCGTCATTGCCGGCTTGCAAAAAACGGGGGCCCTCAGTAGATCGGAGTCCCACTGCTGGGGGGCCAGGCCCAGGCTCCACCCTACACAAACTGGTTGGACACTGTCCCACTCTGACTATCTACATAGAAGGTGTACCGGTGACTGCTGTTATAGACAGTGGCTCCCAGGTTAGCACAGTCACAGAAACATTTTTCAACTGCAGCCTAAAAAACATTGTGCTAGAAACAGGCACCCATCTATCCCTGAGAGCAGCAAATGGGTTGGCCATCCCATACAATGGCTATTTTATTACTGACATTGAAGTCAACAAAGAAAAACTTTGTGACAAGGGGTTCCTGGTCATAAGAGACCCAGTAGGCGGCCCAGCTCCACCTTGCCTGCTGGGCATGAACATTCTCCAAGACCTTACCACATTGGCCCATCTGGTCAAGCCACCTGGGGTGACACCGAAGGTATGGCGAGAGGGCAAAGCCCTCAGCCCCCGCGAGAGAACTCTGGTGCCTGCCAAGAGCATATCGACCATTCGAGCGACGGGAGGAGACCCCAGAATGGTAGATGACATGCTGGTACAGCCATTGGAACAGCCATTTCACCCGGACCTGCTCGTGGTGCCAGGCCTAACTTCCTGCCGTGAGGGATTCTTCTCGGTACAGGTGGCTAACCTGTCTGAGGAGCCCGTCTACATCTCCAGTAGGACCTGTCTGGCAACAATCCACCCGTTCGAGCTGGTCCCCCCAAACCTGCAGTTCAGGGTCAACTCTCTGGCTGCTGAGGTGGTCATAGACTCATCCCTGTCCAGCGAGACCCACGATTCCATGCCAGAGCCCTCGTTTTCCAGCATGATGGCAGAAACCCTAGACCCACCACAGCGGGCGGCTCTGGAGAAATTACTCCAGGAATTCACAGACGTTTTTGCTTGGACAGACGACCAGTTGGGTTTCACGGACAAAATTAAACACAGCATCCCACTAACCAGTGACATACCAGTAGCGTTACCCTACCGCCGGCTTCCGCCTACAGAGTTCGCTGCGGTTAAAGAACACATTGAAAGGTTGACTACCAGGGGCATTATCCAACCCAGCACGAGCCCTTATGCAGCTCCAATGGTCATCGTGAAGAAAAAGAATGGCGAGATCCGGTTATGCTGCGATTACAGGAGGCTGAATGGCATAACCCGGAAGGATGCGTTCCCGCTGCCCCGAATCGATGAAACTTTGGATGCCCTGGCGGGGTCAACCTTCTTCTCCACGCTGGACTTGGCCAGTGGCTACCACCAGGTTGCCATGGCTGAAGAAGACCAAGAAAAGACTGCCTTCGTTACTCCCTTTGGTCTGTACCAGTGGACCAGAATGCCATTTGGCCTATGTGGCGCCGTCCAGACTTTTTCCAGATTAATGCAGGGGGTAATGAGTGAGCACATCATGAGAATCATGCTGGCCTATCTGGATGACATCCTGATATATGCCCCAGACTTCACCTCACACCTAGCCAACCTGCGCACAATACTCGCACGACTGAGAGATATCGGTCTCAAACTTAACCCTGAGAAATGTGTGTTTGGGGCGGAGAGCGTGCACTACCTGGGACATGTGGTGTCCAAGGATGGTGTGAAGACTGACCCAGGGAAAATTACAGCCATCAGCGAGTGGCAGCCCCCAAAGACCCTAAAAGAACTCCGTTCTTTCTTGGGCCTTGCCAGCTACTACCGAAGATTTGTTAAAGGTTTTGCCAACATAGCACAGCCCCTTCACCAAGTAGTCACCAATACTCATGAACAATTCGGCAAGCGAAACAAACGGCAGGACATAACCAACCTGTGGGGCCCAGAACAACAGTCAGCCTTTAACCGGCTTAAGACGGCCTTGACCACCACGCCTGTTCTGGGTTACCCTGACTTTACCCTACCCTTTATTCTAGAGACAGATGCCAGCAGCTACGGTTTGGGTGCAGTCCTAAGCCAGAAACAAGCGGATGGGGTGAAGGTAATAGCCTTCGCCAGCCGGTCACTCCGAGTAAATGAAAAAAACATGAAAAACTATAGTGCCCTCAAGTTAGAACTTTTGGCTTTGAAGTGGGCCATGGCCGAAAAATTCAGAGGGTATTTGCTGGGCAGCAAGACATTGGTACTGACAGACAACAATCCGCTTAGCTACATTAAATCATCTAAGACTGGTGCAACTGAGCACCGCTGGATTGCTGACCTAGATGTCTTCGACTTCGAAGTAAAATACAGGTCCGGCAAATCCAATGCCAATGCGGATGCCCTGTCCAGGTTTCCTGTGGACAAGCCTGCAGCCAGAGATCCAGAAGTCCAGTACTCCGGAGTGTACCAGGTCACCACACGGGTCCCACCAGAGGTGGCAATATCAACACCTCAACCTGTCCCTCTGGAGGCCCACTGCAATTTCCTGTCTTCGGCCTTACCGGCCGATGTGAAGAATGCCCAACAGGTAGACTCAACCATCCAGGAGATCCTACCCTTCCTGACGCCCGGCCACAGATTACATTCCTCGACTTT